AGGAGGTGGAACAATGTTTTGTATAGTATGTTATGCCAATTGAGCTTGATGTCCCCTGCGACTATGGTCCCAAGCCCGCAGGATCAACTACTCGGTCGCTCTGGGTAGCTGGCTGTGACCAAGCAATGACCATAACCTTTAAGGGGCCTCAGATCTTGTATGTCTGGATTAGGTTACGGTATATAATGGTTTACAAAATTGGAAGCTTCCAAATGACATTTTGTTGTTAATCATGATCGTTTGTAACTTGATGATATCATTTAGAAGTTCAAATTGTTATGAAGAGTAATTGGAATTGATGCAGGTAGTAGCTGTAACAGTTGTTCAAGTTGTGAAAGTTTCACCCCTTTCAGCTCAATAATAATGATTTTAAATGTTAAGAGTGACAATTTATGGTTTTATTCCTATTGTCTTTCATAGGTTTTTGATGAAATTGAGTCATGAAACTGTAACAATTGAATTGAAGAATGGAACACAGGTCCATGGAACAATCACAGGTATAGGTTTTATAAATGCTTTTATTTTCTCTTGCACTTACAAATGAGAGTTCTTTCTTAGTTGCTTAATGAACATTATTATAGTACAGATCATCCTTTTTTTTTTTTACTATTAATATTTTTTAGTGAATATATACAACACTCACTCCCATTGAGCAGTTTTTTAGACATAATAATAGTGACATTCTTCACATTGCGTCAGCATTCTCATTATTTCTGTCCTAGTTGTTTTACTCTCGTTGACTTAATACTTCCTGTCCCCCAGCCTTCTTGTCTGTGCTTTAAAACAGCTTTTGCCCATTTGGTCTTATAAAGATGACTTTTTAAAAGGTATAGTACTCAAGGGTGATAATGTTTACTTTTTGAGCTAAATTGTTACATAGTTTAAAGGTGACTTCAGGGGATAGTTTTGAGTCCAGATTTCAAGAGTAATTTGGTGCTGTAGGCTTGAGGACTCCATAGTCTTGGGGAACTCCAGTGTCAGTAGGTCCGATAAGTCTGGATTCTTTAAGAATTTGAAGTTCTTTTCCACAGGGTTCTCCTTTTCTATCTGTTCCATCTTTTGTGTCCCAGCAGATTGTCATTTTTTTTGTCTGAAATACTTCATTGACCTTACTTAAGCCTCTCCTTAAGAATTGCTTGTAATATAACCAAACTGAATCCCCCCAGCTTTTCCTATATGTGACCCATGTATAACTCATTTCTTTGCCTTTGCATGTGTGTGCTCCTCTGCCTAGAATGTTCTTCCAAAATATATTGTACTTTTTATTAGAATTTCTTGTCCCCTACTAGAGTTTTGTTTGTTTTTTTAAAAACTGGATTATAAAAGGAGCCCCAGTGGCACAGTAGTTAAGTACTCAGCTGCTAACTGGAAGGTCTGCAGTTTGAATTCACCAGCTGCTCTGCAGGGTAAAGATGTGACAGTCTGCTTTCGTAGATTTATAGCTTTGAAAGCTCTGTGGTGTAGTTCTACTCTGCCCATACAGGGTAGCTGTGTGTTAGAATAGACTCCACAGCAGTGGGTTTATTAGAATGTAAAATCCTTGGGGGGTGGGTGAGAGGTTCCATGTCTGATTATCTTAGGGAAAATATATGGGAAAAGGGGGAGTAGGGAGGTGAACATAATTCTTCTATTCTAAGACAATCACTGATAGCTTAACATTTTGGAGTATTTATGTCTTTTTCTTTATGTGTCTAATACTTGGCTTTAATGATGTCTATTTAGTTTTCTATTTAAGGCCCACTGAAATTCTTTGCTTAGAGTAGGTATTCCCAAAAAAATGGAGATTTTTCAAAAGAATTGATGAGCCAAATGAAAGAAAATACTATTTCAGCATGTGTTCCCATCCTCTGAAATATTTAACTGGTATTTGCTTGTGGATATGCTAAAACTTTGCATCACCAATTACTATGAATGGTATTCGATATAGTATAATGTTGACATTGTCTGTGACTCCATCAGCAAGTGAAGGTCCTGAAAGTGTTAATCCATCCACATCATTAAGGTCAACTCTACTTTGGGGAGGCAGCTCTCCCCAGTTGTATTTTGAGTCCTTTGCTACCAGAGGGGCTCATCTTCTGGCACTGTATCAGATAGTGCTTCACAGCTCTTCATAAAGTTTGCCAGTAATATATCAGGTAGTGTTTCACTGTCATTCATAAGGTTTTGACAGTGGCCAGTTTTTTCAGAAGTGTGTGTCCCCATCCTTACTCCTAGCCTGTCTTCATCTGGAAGCTCTGCTGAAATCTGTCTGCCATAGGTGACTCTGCTGGTATTTGAAATGCTGGTGGCATAGCCTCCAGTCTCACAGCCACATGTAAGCCACCACAGTGTGACAAACTGACAGATGAGTGGTGGAACCATATCTGAGGAAGTATAATTATTATGCTGCTAAAATTCAATAAAGAGTGATTTAGGGTGCTATGTCCACAGCTCTGTGTTAGATGTTGTGGAAGAACCAAAGAGTGTGACTGTAATTTGTGGAAATGAAATAGTAGTTAGACTACTTCTTTATTGTTTGCTAAGATCCTAAGTGATTTTCTAGGCTTAGCAAAATTTTTCCTTTTCCATAAAGTCCTTTCTCCAGTAGAGATTAGTATGTCATTCCCTTAACTAACCCGAGGGGACATTCATTCTATAAAACTTTGAGTATTTATTGTATGTCAGATATTGGTAGGCGCTGGACAGAGGTAGGAGTTACAAAGTTAGTATGGGGGTGGCACTGAGGAACCCAGGAATCAACAGGTAATATTGAAGAAGCGTGCAATGGGAGTCGGGGAACTAATCTCAGAAGGGGAAAATGAACTGTTGAAACAGAATAGCAGCATGTATACAGACATGAACCATAACAAATTTGGCAAGTCCAGAGAACATCATCTTATTTGCAGTGAAGTAAATATTGGAGTTCAGGAATGGAGAAGCCGTAGGAAATGAAGAGGGGAGTCTAGTTTATGAAGGGCCTTGAATGTCATACTATGAAATTGAGGTATTATTCCTTAGCTGATGAAAACTATTGGAGGATTTATATAACCAACTGGCATGAGATTTGAATTTTATAAAGAGATTACTGGCAATGTTTGGAGGTTGAATCTGTGGGGAAAAGACAAGAGTCTAGCTAGGAAATTAAAAAAAAAATAACAACAATTAGACAAATAAACAGCATTTTAATAGATTGAGTTGCTGTTTAAAAGCTTGAATTGAATGGACTTGATGAACCAGTGAGAAGGGGAGAGGTAACATCCAAGGGTAAAGTGGCTTCTAGAGTACCAGGGACTTCTCTCCATATCTTCCCTCACTTGCAGAGAAATGCTTCTGTCAGAATGAGTTTTCTACAAGGGTCTACATTTCTTATACAATTAAGACTGGTTGAGATTGAAGGCTAGTTAGTAAGGAAAAAATAAGAATGCTTTCTCCAACGTAGGCAAAATTACTTTGGAGAATTCATTGTACAAAGTGTTCTTACCTAAGGAGCTCTAGTGGTAAGACATGTGGCTGCTAACGAGAAAGTGGTTCAAACCCACCACCAGTTGCTCTATGGGAGGAAGATGAGGCAGTCAGCTTCCATAAAGATTTATAGCCTTGGAAACCCAGTGGGGGTTGCTATGAGTCAGAATCAGCTTGATGGCCAGAGGGTTTGGTTTTTTGGTTTTGGGCATGGCCTCTAACTTGAGGCCCAGAGAGTGACAGAAAGTAGCACTCTTCATTTACTCCATGAGTACACAGGGATGAAGAGAGAGGCCTGTGGAGTAAAGGAGGAAGAAGATAAAAGAGAAATGAAGGAAAAGAAAAAGGGAATGAGGCTAGACATAAATGGAGTAAAGGACAGAAAGATAAAGAAATGATACCTCAGGAAAAGAAATAAATGAAAGGGGAAGAAAAAGGAATTGTCTGGAAATTTGAAATTAATTAATGCATGCAAAATTAATTTATGCATGCTACAAGATAACAATTATGAGAAGAAAGTAGATAATAGTTCTAAAATCAGAAACTTCAACAAGAATGCAAAGCAGAGGACACTTGAATTTTACCAAATTGAGTACCTTTAAAGGGTAAAACAGATTCAGGAAAACTGAATTAATCATCTTTTTGTTTTTAATTTACAGAGATTTTCTTTAAAAAAAAAAATGGCAAGCATCCAAATATTTTAATTATGTGGATTGATTATGACAAATAGAGATTTTTCAAGAAACGCTTTAGCCAAAAAGCAGCTCTATTTTTAAATAGCCTTTTCATGTTGTGTTGTAATGCAGTTTCATCATATACATATTTTTTGATACAGATGCTATTAACTGTTTTTATAAATCCAGTAATATTGCAAGAAACCCAGATTACAAAATATTGAGAAGAGCAATGAAGATAATGACTGTGGACCTCTTTTTCTAGGAACTTAGTGGCAAAGGAAAGAGAAAAGGCAAGTCATGTGAAATTAATTAACAGAATTAAGATAGGGAAGATTAGAGTGCATTTGTTTGGCAGAGAGGAAAGAAATGGTGGAATATAAAAATGGTACATTCTGAAGGATAATGTGTAAAATAGTAACTGAAGTCTGCCCTGGAGTCAAATTGGTAGGATTCAAAATCCCAGATTCAGCTCATAATAAAACCAAACCAGGTGCTGTCAAAGGGATTCTGATTCACAGCCACCCTGTATGCAGAGTAGAACTGTGTACCATAGAGTTTTCAAGACTGTAACCTTTTGGTAGCAGAGTGTTGGGCATTTCTGTCTTCCTAGATAATAAATAGATCAAGGTTCCCAAGGAGATAGAACGGTACCAAAAGCATATTACATAATCTTGGAAAGAAAGAGGACCTCTTCTTTCTCTTGGAGTAAAGAGGAAAGCGTCAGTAATACTGAAAAATTTGAGGTCACTGTTAAGATAATTCATGGTTTTTTTACCTTAATTTTCTAAGGAAGGAAATTAATCAGGTATTTAGTTACTCCATAGGAGCCCTGTTAGTGCAGTGGTTAAACACTCAGATGCTAAGAAAGGTCAGTAGTTTAAACCAACCTACCAGCCAGTCTGTGGAGGAAGATGTGACAGTCTACTTCTGTAAAGATTACAGCCTTGGAAACCCTACAGGGAAGTTCTCTGTCCTGTTAGGTCATCATGAGTTGAAATCTACTTGACAGCAATAGGTTTGGTTTGGGTTTTAGTTATTCCATATATTCAGATATCATTTGGTAAATAAAGGCTCCAGTAATGAGATGTTCCTGCTATATTTGTCCTTAGAAACCTTGTTTTATATTCTTCAAAATCTTTCACTAAAATAATGGCTTTATGGAAAAGATACATTGGGGTAGACCACTCAGAACCTCTGAAACTTTTTAATCAGTACTAATAAAACTAGTAACAAACTTTAAAATAATATAGTTAAAGTGACAAGTTAAATTCATAGTAGATAAAATATATTACAGTAAATGCAGAACTTTAAAAACAAAAGTGAGGATAGCTTAGTGGAATGCGGTATGGGAAGTTGTGGAGGTGATGTTCTAGTGCAGAAAGATCTAGGAGAACCATGCAGTAAGCACTTATTTACCAACCTGAGACAGGAGGAGGATTCATGGGGACAGTGGGCATAAGCACATGTACCAATCAGGGTTCCTCTCTGACTTGCTGCATTCACATCTGTAAGCATGCCTACCTAGGCAAAACATTAACATTCTAGGGAAAAATCTCTTATGAAGGAAAGACTTCTGATTTATTCTCACCTTATTCTCCCACTTACCAATTACATGTAAGCTAAACTGTGTCATAGAAACTTGAATTGTGTAGAGAGTGCTAGTCTGATTTTCAAACTAGATGCCACCCAATCATGCATTGCTATATAATTTTTATATTTTTTTTATTTAGCAATAAAGAGTTTGAACAAAAAGGGGGAAAAAAAGGAACTTGCATTGTAGCAGAAGAGACAGTACTCTTGTAAAATGGTGTTTGCCCTGGCTTGATAGATTAATTAGTTGCCTTCCTTATCATGTGCCCTGTTTTTTTTTTCCCCCTTTAGGTGTGGATGTCAGCATGAATACACATCTTAAAGCTGTGAAAATGACCCTCAAGAATAGAGAACCTGTACAGCTGGAAACACTGAGTATTCGAGGAAATAACATTCGGTACTTTATTCTGCCAGACAGCTTGCCTCTAGATACACTACTTGTGGATGTTGAACCTAAGGTGAAATCTAAGAAAAGGGAAGCTGGTAAGTTTGAAGAGCTACCAGAGTTTTTGTGAATGGTGCTTTCATACCATTATTCACTATTAAAAATGTACACATATATAAACAAGAACAATTTTTTGCAGTTTAAAATCTCCCTTTATTTGGTATAGCTGCCTATCAGTATTTATTATTAACTCCTGGTGTTGCTATTGAAAAAGGGCTGATACCATTCTTATTTCCTATGTTCGTGCAAGACTTGGTCCTCCCTTTCATCCCTACTTAGGAAGATTTGGAGATTGACTTTTTCTTTTTATTCTTGGTATTCTCAAGTTTCTTTGACTTGGTATAGGGTCTTCTTTCCCCCTTCGCCCAACACACACACTTTTTCCATTTTCTGGGTGCTTGGTAGAACCTTTCAATCATGGGTATTGCCTTTTAGACTTAAGAAATTTACTTGTATATCTTTGACAATTTTTTTCTCCCTTCTTTGCTGTTTTTTTTCATCTTCCTGGAATTCTTAATGATTGAAGACTGGATTTACTCTAAAGTTTTATCTCTTCTCTCTTTGAGAATTTCTGAGAAATTTCCTTGATCTAAGTTTCCTGGTTCTCTGATCATTTTTTACAGAATTCTGTATCTTCTTTTACAGATAGAATATTTTTTTTCACATCACTGGTAGGGTATTAACTGTAGTTTTGGTTTTTGAAATTTTATTCTATACTTGGCTTTATTTTCTCTAGTTTCTCTTTTTAGTTGATCTCTTTATTTGATGTTTTATATTGAAGTTTACTTAAGTATCTTGAGAGTCTTGGCCATTCGTGATTAGTTAACATGAAACCTAAGAAAAAGGGAAGTCCTGGGGAGGGGAGCTGGATTCCTCAGCAGGTGGATCTCACTGGAGAGAGGTTCAGAACTAAATTGGCTCTTCACTGAGGAGACCTAAACTTAGTATCTGGATGTCACCTGCTTTGTGAGAAAGTTATCTGTCAGCATTATTGTGAAGGGCTGTGTGTTTTGTAGACATTTACTTACTACAGTGACTTTGAGACTTTTTTGCCCTCTATTCATAGTAAGAAATTTTTTCTTCATCATGATCTGCTCATACATATAACTGAAACCAAATCTCATAAAGAGATTATGGATGTTTATTAAGAACTATAACGGGGAGAATATGTGTGTGGATTTGTGTGTGTGCACTTAAATGCTCTTGGGGGTGGCCAAGTAACATCAGTGCAGAGGAGGATTTACCTTGCTTTGTTTTTCTTTTTCTTCAGTTGCAGGAAGAGGAAGAGGCCGAGGTAGAGGAAGAGGACGTGGCCGTGGTAGAGGAAGAGGGGGTCCTAGGCGATAATGTCTCTCAAGATTACTGTTTCAGAGCGATAAACAATTTGGGATATTTTTTGTACAGGTTTTGTTTGTTTATGTCAGTTTTTAATAAACATAAATATGGGGCAGAGTTGTCTGTTGTCTATGTCAATATTTTAGTAGTTTCATATATGTTCATTATTAACACAGTAAGTGTTACTGTAAGACAGTCCCAGAATAATCCATTCTTAGTTGATCTTGCTTTAATTTTTTGAATGAAAATTATTTTATGATGAATGTATCTGGAATATACTTTTTTTTTTTTTTTTTTACTTTACATGCACTGGAGATGCATTTTATGACTTCATTCAAACTCCAATTCAATAGACCTACCTCTAATGAAATAATAAGTTCTTTTCGTAAGTCCTTCCGAATGTGGTCTAAAATTGATTCTCCTCTTCCTGAGGTTTACTGCAAGGAGCGTTAGATGCTTGGTTAAAGGTAATGGACATTTTCTAAATCAGGAGTCAGTGATCTTGTTTTCATTGATAATGAGTTTTAGTTTTTGGGTTTTTTTCATGGATTCTCAATAGATTATAGTTATAAACTCTACTGAGTTGAAACTTCACATAGTATTTCATAGTTTATCAGTGGTTAGTGTCAAAATCTTCTGTTAATGTGGAATGTACTTGGTCAGTGGCACCTTAACAAGTACTTACAGGAGTTCTTTAAGAACGAAAGGACAAATACCTACTTTATTTTACAGCAAAATTGGATTATTTCCTATTGTTGTTAATGATTTTTTAAAATGTTTCAATTGGTTAGGCTTAAAGAAAAATACCTCTTCGGTGTATGCAATTCCTTGTCAGACTTGCTACCGTTAGTTTCTATGCTAAGAAAAAAAGCTAATGTTGAGGATATGGGAAAATGAAATCTTTATTTTCATTTAATTATGTGTTTGGGGATTTAGTACTTACTTTTTTAATGAGAAGGAAATTTTCTGTGAAGACTGTTACCTGAAAATTAAGGTTTGGGCTTTGTAAACGGGTTACTTAAATTGAGAGATAGCAAGAGCTGTGTGTGTGTGTGTGTGTTGTGTCTTCGTGTGTGTGCATTTTAAAGAAGTTACTATAAACATTTGAATATACATATTTTGAAAAATGTCTTGCTTGTCTCATCAAGATAATTCAAATGCTTCTTTATTATTCCACAGTTGACAGGTTTCTTTAATAATAAGTCATTGAAGCTATACCATAGTGTATAGCTGTTTTATCACAAATTATCTAGCATTGGTTAGATAATTTTCTCAAAAAATCCTAAGATCAAAAAAAGAAGTGTGTCATTGTATGGAATCCATGATAATTAAGACAACTTTATGTAGATATTCTTTGATAAGAGAATATATTTAATAAAGTTACATCTACATGATAGGATAAGCCTAATACGTAACTGTCCTCCATATAGTTTATAAATTAAAAAGCTAGAGGAATAAATTCCTGGATCTCATTCTTTTCCATCCTCTGATATTCTGATGTTCCTATTGGTTGCACCCAAGCAGAAGCCAGAAGGCAAGGGAGCCCAGTGATGCAGTAGGTTGAAGAGTAGATTTGAAGGGGACAGACAGAAATGACCTCACACAAATAGTAAATAAATAACTAGCTGGCTCCTGCCCACATGGAGCTTATAGGCTTTAATGGGAAGGAAATTTAAACAGCTATCGTGAATTAGGGTGAATACAACAAATATAAAGAGTATTTTATATTCTCTTGTTTGTTTTTAAAACAGTTAAGTAGTGACAGCCCATTTTGATGTTGAGCCAAATACCATATAATAAAAAAAATGAAGTGTATATTTTATTTTGATAATTTTGACATCTAGATTGCAGTGTGAAACCAGTCTAATAACACTTTTAACTGTAAGAATAAACCATTCTGGGTACTAGATTGAGTTACTCCACTAGAGGTCATCATTTGAAGGCAAAACTGTTTGAACTAACTTACAAAGTTATAAAGGAAGCACTGCAGTCAGAATAGAGTATATGCTATATACACACATGGAACATTGTTGTTGTTATGTGCCATCGAGTCAAACCTGACTCATAGCGACCCCTCCTTGGGTTTCCGAGGCAGTATCACTACGGAAGTAGGATTGCCCAACCTTCCTTCCGAGGAGTGGCTGGTGGGTTTGAACCGCCAGCCATCTGGTTAGCAGGCAAGTGTCTTAGCCACTATGCTACCAGAGCTCCCATGGAACATTACTCAACGTTAAAGAATAATAGTGAGTCTGCAAAATACCTCATAACATGGATGAACCTGGAGGGTAGGTATTAAGCTGAGTAACATTAGTCAATCACACAAAAGGACAGATACTGTATAAGACCTACTGTAAAAAAATCAAAAAAGGTTTCACAAAAAAATATTTTTTGATGGTTACCAGGGGTGGGAGGGAAAGGGAGGATAAACCACCAACTAGAGGGTGAACATGTATTAACTTGGGTGAAAGGAAAGGCAAAAAAAAAATGAAATTGTGATCTTCTGTAATATATGTCAAATGTCAATATGACATAGAACAGTCATTTCTGAAAAACCTAACCTAAATGATAACTTCTTAACCAAATGAAAAATGTCTATGTTAAACCAATACCTGATACTATTCTAGAAACATTCCAATTAGAACAACAAGAAAAGTTATATCTAGTATCAGTCCTCATTACTTAATGTGAAAATACTGATGGATCCACAAAATAAGAGATTTACTTTTGAAAAGGAAAAGAAGGGCAATATTTAGTTGTTTCTGCATGGTGACATGATATGATCAATTCAAACTAGCTTTTTCTTTTTCAGCATATTCTGTATATTTTGGAGGTTAGTATATGATACGAGATACAATCTATAAAAAATAAGAACAGGGAAGTCTAGATGTCAAGTAATGTTTTGGTACTTTGGTGAAAGGATATTTTATCATTCTATTCTAACTCAATTACCTAGGATGAATTTGTTCAATATTTTAATACCTCCAAAATTGAGGTGCATTATAAATAACAAATTTAGGTTATGGCATTGTTTTAGTTATCTAGTGCTGCTTTAACAGAAATACACAAGTGGATGACTGAAACAAATTTACTTTCTTAGATTTTAGGAAGCTAGAAGCACCAATTCAGAGCACCAACTCTAGGGTTTTTTGTCGGCTCTGGTAGCATAGTGGCTAAGACAGTTGCCTGCTAACCAGACGGCTGGCGGTTCAAACCTACCAGCCACTCCTCGGAAGGAAGGTTGGGCAATCCTACTTCCGTAGTGATACTGCCTTGGAAACCCAAGGAGGGGTCACTATGAGTCAGGTATGACTCGACGGCACATAACAACAACAACAACAGAAGCACCAATTCAGAGCACCAACTCTAGGGTTTTTTGTCGGCTCTGGAGGAAAATGTTTGTCTCCTTTCAACATCTGTGAGCCTGGCATTCCTTGGAGATCTCCATGTGTCTTTGAGTCAGTTTTCTCCTGAGTCTGGAATGTTTTCTCAGTGCAGGGACCCTAGGTCCAAAAGTCGCCAGCTTTTCTTTTGGTGGTAGTCAGTTCCCTCTTTTTAATCTCTTGTAAGATAAAAGGTGATTCAGGCCACACCCCAGAGAAACTCCCCTTAGACCAGAGCAGTGAACTGAGTAAAAGTGTTGCATCTTACTCTAATCCCCTTACAACTGATGGGCTGATCACCCAGATCTTCATGGGGGGGTTGATTGCATCGTTACATAACTACTAAATTACATCATTACATAATTGCCGAACCACTGAGCATCATAGCCCAGCCAAGTTAACATTTGGGGGGAACACAATTAAATCCATGACTGACATCAAACAAATTGGCTGGTTGATTTGTTTTCTTTGTTAGTAGTGCATAAAATAATGAAGCATTTAAAAATTGACAACTTAGTTCAGTGAGCTGTAGAAATTCTAGTCTGGTTGATTTGACTGAAGTATAACCTTGTGAACTACTTTACTTTGTCTTTAAATGATAACACATTGAGTCTGCAAGGAGAATAGATCTGTGTGTGTATGTGTGTGTGTGTGGTTTCTAAAACATTTTTTCTCTATGCTCTTCTGGGCAATAGCAAACGTCAGCTCTGGCTTTTTCTTTTAAAAATTTCTGAACCAAAAACCAAGAATGGTGCCATATTTTAGGGTAACAGTATAAGGATAGGAATTCTCCCAATTTTTAGGTTTAATGCAATTATTCCAGTGATTTTTAAAAAATAACTTCTTTATTGTTAAAACATCACCTAATATATAGGGAGGAGCTTTGGCATAGTTTCTAAGGCACTTGACTGCTAACCATAAGGCTCGAGGTTCAAACTCACCAGCCACTTCTCAGAAGGAAGGCTGGGCAGTCTATTTCCGTAGTGATACCACCTTGGAAACCCAAGGAGGGGTCACTTTGAATCGGGTCTGACTCGACGGCACATAACAACAACAAATACATAGTGTTTATGCTGTGCCAGATTTTTTCAGTTAATTTATATATTTAATGCAGTTTCCACAAGAGGATTTTTTTATGACAGTATTAACTATTTCATCACTTGACAATGTTGATTCTGCTAGGTTCTACATTAACCCCTTTACATGTTACTTTTAACCCTCAAACCAGCCCTGCATGGGAGATTATGTTTTGTTTTCAGTTATCTAGCCCACTGAGGCTAGATAACCACCCAAAGTTCCACAGTTAGAAAGCAGCAGACCTGGAATTTAGATTCAAATATGTGTCCAAGAATCCTGTGCTCTTTACTTTGAGATTGGCTCTGATGTTTATTCTAGAGTAAAGAAACTATAGGAAATTAGTCATTTCTCTAGAACAGAGAGGTATAAGGGGAGCCTATGCAACTAGAGGAAATTGTTACTTACAGTTTTAAGCCAGAATTCATTTTTGATCTATCAAGTGAATTTTTAAAATAAGCGCTTATTGTTAATAAAGGAGCTCTGGTAACAGTGCGTAAGGCATCTGATTGCTAACCAGAAGGTTGGTGGTTCAAACTCAACAGCCACTCCATGGAAGGAAGACTGGACAATCTAAAGATTTAGTGCCTTAGATGCCCAGTGGGGGTTGCTGTGAGTCAGAATCGACTCAGTGGCAGTGGGTTGGGTTTGGTTTGTT